GTGGAATGGACTTTTGAGGAGGAGACATTGAACTTTGCCCTGGGCATGGAGGTAAACTGAAGCCAGTGTAACAGACCTGGTTCAGGTAGGGAGTAAGTGGGTTTTTTTTTTTCCTGAGAACTTTGGAAATTGTGCGTTGTCTGGTTTTATCAACTGAGCGTGAGTTCACATGGAAGAGGGAGAGGAAGATGCTAAAAAAGCAACGCTCTCCTGAACGGTGCTGGTTCTTAAGATGCGTTATCAAAAGCCAGGATCGTGGCAGACTAGCCATGACTTGATAGAGACGGCGTGTGAGCAAGGAAGGACTGCCGGGAGACGGCCTGATTCCCAGATTCTCTGGGCTGTTTGTGATTGCCTCTGACAGGTTAAATTTCTCTCCTGCGTCAGTGAGTCTTGGAGACAGAAATCTAATGTGTGTGTTTCAGAGGGCAGTTCTCATACCGTGCAGAAATTTCCCCTAAAAATGCTGTTGCAAAGAGGAGGCAGGCCTTCTGCTGAGGAAGATGGATTTCTACATTTGCAGTGACCCTCCACCGAAAACTATTCTAGGTCCCATCCTAGTTCCCAAACCATAGGGTGGTTTAAAAACAAAACAAAACAAAACCAAAACCCTCTTATAAAGAGAAAGTTAATTCTCTTTGTGTACCTGAGAACAGTTAGGGTCTGTGGTTCTAGGCAGTTTTCAAACTTTGTAATCTTAGGCTCTTTTTACTCTTGGGAAAAAGAAAAAAAAAGAAGAAAAGAAAAAGAGAAAAAAAAGAAGAAATGAGGACCCATTTACCCCAAAAGCTTTTGTTTTCTGACGTTTGCTTATCAATATGGACCTTAATAAATTACATTTAAAGTAAACATAAATTTATATTAAATTTAAGAAATTTAAACAGAATTAAAAGAAATTGAAAACATACTGACGCATGTAGTGAAGATACCAGTAGCAAGCCACTTGTCTGTTATTCCCAGTAACATGTTTTTTCCCTAATGAAAAATAACTATATTCTCAAAAAAAAAAAAAACCCAAAAAAATCCAACCAAACAAAAATCAGGGAGAGGAATGTGTACGCTCCCGTAAGGAGAGGCGTGGCTGTTTGAAATACCCGCTGAGAAGTAGAAGGTTCTTCATGCTGCTGTTTCTCCCTGCATCTGTGGCAATGTTCCCTGTGTTGTTTGTAGCAGACAAAGATCTGGCCAGTCTCTCCGATGTGCGGAAAGGCAGGATCTTGCCGGAGCCCCGGCATCGTCTTGGCAGTGGTCCCCTTCGGGGAGGGAGGCTGCTGGGGCAAAACCTTGATTCCTGACCCTTGATGGACAGAGAGCTCTCTGTGAACTGGCCCTGAAGACAGTGGCCGGCGGCTCTGCCCAGCTGCCTTAAACGTATCCTTTCAGAACCGCCCTACTGTGCGTGGCCTCCTTACTGGGGGAGGGGTCCCTGGGGGTTCTGACATCACTCTCTGGCCTGAAGGAGTTGATGGAGGCCATGCAGGCAGGTCCTCCTTAAGAAGCCTCTTTGTTGAGGATGCTTTGTGTGTGCAGATGTTTGCACCAGGACCTCCTGCCAAGTGCCAACAAGAATTCATCACCATCATCACAGTGAATAGGAAGATCTGATGAAACAAAACCTGAATCGTGTTGTCCAGGTAGGACGGACACTCAAAATCCAGATCCCAGTTGTGGTACCTGCTGGAATGGCTCACATCCCAGAGCTCAGGTGTGGTGCCCGCTGCACCGTTCTTGTCACGTTCGTTGAGTGCCTCGGCCACATCCAGGTGTCCCTTCCTCGTTTGGCTGAAGTCTCGTATTGGGGTTTCTCCTTTCTGGAGGTCCTGGCTGTGTTGGATCCTGCCATCCGCCCCGGTCCTGGAGACTGCGGGCCTCACCTGTGAGCTCTTGGGCTGGCGCTGGTCACAGCACCGCATCCTTTTGCCCCCATCCCCCACAACATGTGCCGTAAATCAGCCCCATGGTGACCTCTCCCCAGAAAGCCCCAGGCAGGCGTTGTTGACCTCAAGCTAGCATGGCAGGGCCTGACTGTCAGTGAGGACCTGGGGACATTCAGAGACTCCTGCTCAGCGCTAGGGGGTGATGTGAACAGTCAGTATCTTCGAAGAGTTTTGTCTTCATCCTCAGAGTGCTGGGGCTGCTGAAACAATGTACGTAAAACTACAGGCATCCACCCTCCCCCTAGTCCTAGAGACCAGACGTCTGAGGTCAAGGTGTCCCAGGGCCGCGCTCCCTCCGGAGGCTCCAGGGGAGGGTCACTCCTTGCCTCTTCCAGCTTCTGGGGGCTCCAGGCGTCCCTGGGCCGGTGGCCGCCTCCCTCCCATCTCTGCCTCCATCTCTATGTGGCTGCTCCTGTGTGTCTGTGTCTGTCCTTGTCTTATGAGGACAGTGTCCTTGGATGCAGGGCCACCTCCTCCAGGAGGACCTCCTCTCAGACCCTTCACATCATCACTTCTGCAAAGACCTTGTTTCCAAATACAATCCCCTTGGCAGGTTCTGGGAGAACCATGAATTTTGGGACGGGGTGCTTTGCAACCCATTCTAGTTACCAAGTTTTGGCTCTGAACATACTCTCCCTGCTCAGAAACTATCTGGTTGCTATAGTTTGTGGTTTAACCCCCAGAGTGCTGTACTGGGTGCAGACTTAACAGACACCATTTTTCTTTTAATTTAAAAAAATTTAAAAAAAATTGACGTACAGTTGATTTACCCTATTGTGTTAGTTTCAGGTGTCCAGCAAAGTGACTCAGTTATTTATTTCTATATATTTTTTTCAGATGACTTTCCACTACAGGTTATTCCAAGATACTGAATATAGTTTCCCGTGCTACACAGCAAATCCTGGTTGCTTATCTATTTTATGTATCGCTGTGTGTATCTGTTCATTCCATGCCCCTAATTTGTTTCTCTCCCACTCTGTTTCCCCTTTCGTAACCATAACTTGGTCTTCTGTGTCTGAGGAGCAGACAGACACTTTTTAGGAAGACTCAGCTGCCCTGAGTGGCAGCTTCAAGAGACCAGACGGGTGGACGTCACCAACAGCGGGAAGCCGGGGGGCTGGCCCTTAGACTGTGCAGACTTCCCCGCTGAGAGCCTGGGGATTCTTGTGTGCGTTCACAGCTAATGGGTGTTTCTGCGCCCAGGTGTGAGGGTCCACGGTGGGCTTTTGGCGAAGTTGTAGGGAAGGGGAAATCCATTATTGTCCCAACCCGGTTCCTGATCCCACATGCACCCACAGTTCAAAAAGGCGTCTTTTTATTTTTATTGAAGGATAATTGATGTACAATATTGTGTAAGTTTCACATGTACAACGTAATGAGTCACAAGTTTTAAAGGTTATGGTCCATTTACAGTTATTATAAAATATTGAGTCTGTCCTGTGTGCTGCATAATACATCCTTGTAGCTTATTTATTTTATACATAGTAGTTTGTTCCTCTTACCCCCCTCCCCCTATCTTACTCCCTCTTCCCCTTTGGTAACCATGTTTCTTTCCTATGTGAGTCTGTTTCTGCTTTTTAAATATATTCATTTGCATCATATTTCACATTGCACATATAAGTGATACCATGTGATATTTGTCTTTGTCTGGCTTACTTCACTTAGTATGATCATCTCTAGGTCCATCCACGCTGCTGCACATGGCATGACTTCATTCTTTTTCATGGCTGAGTAATATTCCATTGTGTAAATATACCATATCTTCTTTATCCAGTCATCTGTGGATGGACATTTAGGTTGTTTCCATGTCTTGGCTATTGTAAATAGTGCTGCTGTGAACACTGGGGTGCACGTGTCTTTTCAAGTTAGAGGTTTTTCTTACTTTTTCCAAGATGTACCCAGGAGTGGGATTGCTGGGTCATGTGGTAGTTTATTTTTAACTTTTAAAGGAATCGCCACACTTTTCCACAGTGGCTGCACCAATTTACATTCCCTCCAGCAGTGTAGGAGGGTTCCCTTTCCTCCACACCCTGGCCAACATTTGTTATTTGTGTTCTTTTTGATGAAAATTTTCAATGAAAACCGTTCTGACGGGGGTAAGGTGATATCTCATCGTGTTCAGAAAAGCATCACTTTAAAAGAAAATTTGAAAAATTTTATGTAATGCCTCTCTGCCAACTGAATGAATGACTGCTCGCAGCAAATTAAGACCCTGTATTTGCTTCTCAGATTTGAGAAGCAAGTGGTGGTGGGCGGTGGGTGACACACGCAGGGGGGTCTCAGATGGGGCGGTGGGTCTTCTTGGGCTGGGGGTGGGGCCCTTGGGCGCATGGCCTCCCCCTGGGAAATGAGCCTGCTTGGTTGGTGCCAGGCTAATGGATCTCCTAGAACAGAATTCAGAACTGCTGAGGCGGGGCAGAGAGCTGTCGTGAGGAGTCCAAGATCT